GGCTAGCATCAGGGACTTGTGGGCTAGCATCAGGGACTTGTGGGCTAGCATTAGGGACTTGTGGGCTAGCATCAGGGACTTGGATTTGATACGGGCAGCAAGAGGTAACCAGTGGAGTTCAGTGAACAGAGGGGGGACGTGAGATTTTTTTGCTGATTGAAGACCACCGCTGTTAAACAACAGCAAAGATTTAAAATAGCAATAAAGTCTCTATTGCAAGGAACAATCCCAGGAAAGATTGGCCATTAACGAACTTGAAAAAGCAGCTTGATTTCAGAATGTACAGAAATGCTCACACTTCTTTGCCCTATTTGGAATCAAACACTAATCTAACTCGCATGTTTTTGTATGGTGAAAGAAATCAAAGTTCAGTTGGAGAAAATCCAAACTCAACAGAGATTAGCCCCAGCTGAGGTAGAGGAAGACTACATAATTATTTAAACAAAAGTTAACTAAGAAAAACCTAAATAAACATACAAATCACCAGTTTATTACAAAAATGTGAAAACATTACATAAATGGTTGTTTAAAGTCGAAATTGCGTCCACTAAATTGATTGAAAAGTTCATTTAAATGACAAATTGCTAAACGAATAATACATCAAACTAAACAAATGTTGGAAAGCGAGTCATGATTACATAAAACGAGGAGTTCTTAGACAAACACAAAACTGTGTGTGAGGCAGAAAACCAACACTCATTCAGAAGACTTAGACTTAGACTTAGACTTTATTGATCCCTTGGGAAAACTCCCACAGGAAATTAAAGTTACCAGCAGCTTACAGGGCGGATAAATTGATCAGTGATGTGGTTTTGCACTATGTGGAATATAAATATAAATATGGAGTTCACATTTTAAAGAAAAATACTAAATAAATACAAAAATAAATTAAGAAAGGGATTCTACATGTATTGATTTCCCTAACAGGGACAAAAGAGTTATCTTGTCTATTGGTCACCGGCACTTGGGAAGCACCCCCTAATTCTAGTATTTTCTAATATTCTATTATTTATATTGAGACCCAAAGAAAAAAAGTGTCTTCAAATTTTTTTTTTGTTGTGATTTTCCATGTATTTGGACCTAAAAAAGAACATTACAATTTCAATTTAAAAAAAAATTTTTTTAATTTTAATTTCATAGCATGTCCACTGTAGAGGACAACAGGACGATTTGCATGGGAAAATAGAACAGGCTTTAGATAATTAAATAATAAAAAAGAAGATGTCTTGAAAGGGATATTTACCTAAGAACTCTTAGGAAAAAAGTAAAGTTCCCAGCATGCAAAGCTATCACATGGCACATCACTGGAAAGCCCAGGATGTGCTCTACAGAACACTATAGGGCTGATAGGGTAACTCCAGATACTTAGGGGGGTACAGGTGGACAAAATGTCCACTATAATGGACATAAATGAATGGGCCGGGTCTCAGGAGGATATATTTTAATATAAAGTATTGTTCCAGATGCGAGCGGCAGCCCTGAGTCCCGGGTGGGTTCTCTCCGGGACGGGGAGAGGAGGGCCGTGGTTCCTCTGGCGGTGGTTTCCACTCTGACCGTCCTCAGCCTCATCGTGCTGGTGGGGATCCTGGTCTACTGGAGGTCAGTAGTCCTTATGGTTCATCTATCCTAACTAAACAACACCCTCACTTGTTATTTGGCAGGGCACCTCAGTGTACTTTCAATTCAATTCAATTTTATTTCTATAGCTCCACATCACAACAACAGTTGTCTCACAGCGTTTTCCAAACAGAGCAGGTCAGACCCTACTCTGAAGATAATTACGGAAACCCAACAATTCCCACCATGAGCAAGCACTAGGCGACACAGGGAGGGAAAAACTTCCTTTAACTCATTGACTGGCAGCCATTTTCAGAACAGAGTCCCATACTGCCAGAGTTTTTTGAGCATTTTAACTGATTTTTCTAGAGCCACAGAATAGTTTGTGCTATGACTATGTAAACACCGAACACACCAAAAGAAAGAGTAGACTCTCTTCTTTCATCAGGAAAAAAAATGTGTTTCTACCTTATTCCGTTCTTCCTGGACTTGCGTCTCACCGGCGACATGTTCTCTCATAGAACCGTTCCCTTTTTCTTATTTGCCTACAGTCTATGCTCATCTCCCATCAAAAGTGGCACTGCCCCCTAGAGGCTCAATTTGTTACTACATACTCTGTCTAGAAGCCCATATTTACGGACAAGCTTTAGCAGATCGTCCCCCAGACACTCTCGTTAAAAACATAAAAGACTCTATAGACGTCTTTGGCAGCCAATGAGTTAATTACAGAAGCCCAACAATTCCCACCATGAGCAAGCACAAGGCGACACAGGCAAGGAAAAACTTCCTTTTAACAGTCCACATTTTACTCTCTTATTTGCATGCACTATTTCTCTTGTGGTTTTAATTTTTATGAGGTTTTTATGCACAACTCCTCTGTTTACCCTTGATTTTAAAAAAATTCAATGACCAGGGGACAGACACCGTCTCCATAGGTTTTTCACTAATTAACTCCTGGAATGGAGGAGCAGAGAAGAGGGTTAAACTACAACTCCGCTTCCTCCTCTCAACCCTGGATTGTCAGCCCTACTTCAGCCCTTTTCCAGTTTTCCATCTCAGTTTCTAGAGCTTTTCCTTTTGGGCTCCCATTTTAAAGTCTTTTCCTTCATCCCTCTCCTGGGACACAGTCTTATGATGTCACTGGTGATCCATAGTCTCGGTTATTCCATAACTGGAATCAGAGGGAGACTCTGCTCTTTTTGCTCAGCTATTGATTCATCCTGAGCATTTCAAGCTCATCACACTGGTTTGGCAGAGACTTTACATTTACATTTCCCATAAACCAGTGGTGGACCGGGCATTTCACCCCTCGGCCTTCAGTAGAGCTCCGTCTGAATCAATTCACCCCTCAGTAACTATTTTATGGTTATAAAAATCATCTTATTATGTAGAAATACAGTATAAAGATCAGGGGTGCACAAGTCTTCTACTACTGCAACCCCCCCCCAAAAAAAACATCAATAATATCCTCTTAAACTCGCAATATTATTTAGGAAAAAAGCAACATTTTACTCATCAAAAAAATCCTTCCTTCTCATTGTTCATGTATATATATAATATTCATATTAAATGTAGCACCGGGATCTGACTGGAAAAGCCCAGAGCAGATCACTGGTCATTTTCACGATTGCTTTTTCTGTCCTATGATGAACTCTGCAATGTCCCCTGCATCTCAAAAGTTAAAAAATAATAAAGAAATAATCGATTTACAGAGGTTTCACTCAGGTTTCAATGTTTGTATTTCTAGATTTGTAGATCCAGATTTGGGGAACCCCAAATTTTGGATTTTGTTCAAGTGTAATTTATGTAAAAATACTATTTCAGAATCAGAATCAGAATTTAGATTTAGATTTACCAAAATAACCAACTTTCTATTTTCTTATGGGTTCAGTTCTCTGACATGCAGTTTTGGGGCTCCAACAGTAGATGGCACTGTGTAAGCAGTTTATTTAGCCAAGATGTTTCCCTCCCCTCAAAGGAAGCTCAGCTTCCCTCGAATAGCCAACTCCCAAAATATCTGGATTCCCTTTTTCCTCCAAACATCACCAAACATTCAAAGTTTGGGGATTATTGGAGCTTTTATGGTCGAGGCATCAGGCACCAAACTCACCACTGAATGCACAATTATTAACATTATACGAAATAAAGGGACATGTCAGTGTTTGATAAACTTTTTAGGGTCAAGAGTATAATGAGAAACACATACTTATAGTATTTCTATTTATAGTAATTCTGTAAATGTCATAATGTTTTGTGGTCATCGTGTGATATACAAAGTTTACAAGTTTGTGACTGACAAATTTATTCTCCATTTCATGAGTCTGTCCTGAAAAACTCGACAATATTTAAGTACCTTTTTGTCATCAAGCATACAACAGAATACTTTTCAAAACTGATCATAAAAATTCTATATTTCTGAAGGCCTTCCATTTATTTTTCCAGACTTATTACTTTGACATAATTTTTATTTTCAACATTCTTCAAATGAACATTTAACAACATATCTCCGTTAAAAAAAATAGTTATTACAATGACGCATCAATTAGATGATTATGTTTGTGTGTGAAAGAGGTAAAACTGGGATAAAACCACCACAAAAATGTGACTTTTGTGGACCTGATCCAGTTTCTGAGCCGTTTGTGTGTTTGGATTCGCTCTAAGTCATTACATTTTTCAACAATAAGGTTTTCCTGTAACAGAGATTGTCATTTTCTCCACCAAAGCTTAATCTCTCCAGACATGGGCTCATTCATTTTCTTACATTCTGCTCCGTGTTATTGTCCCAAACGACCCTCTCACAGACTATCCCGTTATGCTAACAGCCAAGAGGCTCTCAGCTCTCCACAACACTTGATTTTCATCTTTTTTTTTTCAAAAGCAACACTTGAGGCTTTTATAAAAAAATAAAAATAATAATAAAATAATAATACAGTAAAATAATAATACAATAAAATATTAATACAATAGAATATTAATAAAATAAAATAATAATAAAATAAAATAATAATAATAATAATAATAATAATAAAATAATAGTAATAGTAATAAAATAATAATTTATAGAATAAAATAAAAATATAATAATAATAAAATAATAATAATAATAATAATAATAATAATGACAATAAAATGATAGTAATAAAATAAAAATAAATTAATAATAATAATAATAATAATAATAATAATAATAATGATAATAATAATAATAATAATAAAAATGTCTCTGGACATCTGAGTGCAGGATTTGGAGACAAAACCTTGTCGATGTTTTCCTAAGCCCCTCCGGAGAATCCAATTGTCTCTTTCTCCTCCTTGTAAAACGGCCCGGTGACCCACTCACATCCCGGAATAACCGCAGAAATCTGATCAGAGACAAGCTGTAAAACGCCTTTGGTCATTTCTACACAAACCAAACCGTGTTTGGAGATTTGGGAGGCTTTTGTTTTCCACTCTGCCTGTTGTTGTAACACATAGGATTGAGCAGCACGGAACGGCCCATAATCTTGGTGGCGGGGGGGATTAATCCGAGGTGCGTATCTTGGTTACAGCTTTGAGTCGAGTGTGTCTGGACAGGATCAAAAGATGGAAAAGGACATCTGCCTGATTATCTTAATCAGGACTGCTGGTTGGTGTCGTGTAATGCATGTAAAGCCGCTCTAATCTTATTGCTATTGTGTCCCTTTTCGCTCCCCTGTGACAAGACGGTGCTCATTTGGACACAGCTGTGCATTTGAGGTCAAGCAGATTTAGGGACTTTAGCCCACCGGACAAGGCTGCAATAATAAATAATAATAATAATAAAGATAACCCTAACCCTAACCCACTGTGTGACAAATGCCATATTGCAGAAGCTACGCTTCACCATTCTTACTCTTTGTGTACAAAATTAACCCCATTTTGGTCTGGCATATTCAAAACTTTATCAGATATGCTCTGTATAGAGCAGGGGTCACCAACCTTTTTTAAACGGAGGGCTACTTCATGCGTACTGAGTCACACGAAGGGCTACCAGTTTGATACACTCGTCTGAAATAATAAATTTGCTCAATATGCTTTTAGCTATACTTTATTAATAATCATTAACGATACTCATATGTGACAACAGTGACAACAAAATGGGAAACATATCAATATCCACCACTTTATCTCTATTTATCTCAGCAAAGAACAGGTGAAGTTGCATAAAATTGTTCCGAACACATCCCCACTGTGTGACAAATGCCATATTGCAGAAGCTACGCTTCTCAACTCTTACTCTTTGTGTACAAGATTAACCCCATTTTGGTCTGGCATATTCAAAACTTTATCAGATATGCTTAATTTATGATGAGATAGCATCCAGCAATTCAAAAAACAATATAAGAAAAGTATTTTTGATGAATACAAAAAATAATAATACATACAAAGTTATACTGTTTGTTTTACTGTAATCGTCCTTTTCCACCATGACTCATGTAACTGAGGGGTAGGGCTTGATAAGCTTATGCTTCATCCTGCTCCTTTTTGAAATATGATATATGTCTAGGAAGCATTCTATGTAAATATTGTAAAATCATATCATGTTTCAAAATAAACTAAATGAATGAATGAATGCTCTGTATAGAGCAGGGGTCACCAACCTTTTAGAAACGGAGTGCTACTTCATGGGTACCGAGTCACACGAAGGGGTACCAGTTTGATACACTCGTCTGAAATAATACATTTGCTCAATATGCTTTTAGCTATACTTTATTAATAATCATAAACGATACTCATATGTGACACCAGTGACAACAAAATGGGAAACATATCAATATCCACCACTTTATCTCTATTTATCTCAGCAAAGAACAGGTGAAGTTGCATAAAATTTTTGCAACGCTTCTCAACTCTTACTCTTTGTGTACAAAATTAACCCCATTTTGGTCTGGCGTATTCAAAACTTTATCAGATATGCTCCGTATAGAGTTAAGGCTGGACCCACTTCTGATTGTACTCGGAGTTTCTGTTCAGCTTTCTCAATTTAATAAATACCAACGACAATTATTATCTTATGCCTTTATCATAGGAAAAAAGCTAGTGCTGATGTTTTGGAAAAAAACAGAGGTTCCATCGGTTAATATGTGGCTGGAGGAACTGGTAAGGATCTCTCATTTGGAAAAAGTACGGTTCTCATTAGCAAATAACTTAAAGCAATTCAACAGAACTTGGCAACCCCTTCAGCAATATATTAATAACCCTATTTGAGGATGATTTGTTTTGGTTATAAGTGTGATCTGATGTAAGTCCCAGGAAAAGGGGAGGAGGGTGGGTCTTGAGAATGTCCTTATTTATGTCACTTTTGTTTTGTTTTAATTTGGTATTGTCTTTATGTTGAATGTTCACATAAAAAAAAGAGAACAAACATATATTGTTGAGGTTGTAATTCTCATGTTTGATTTCTCAATAAAACAGTTTGACAACAAAAAAAGATAAAGAGGCACAAAAAGTGGCATATAGGGCAGCATCTTAGCAAAAAATGACTGTTTTTCTCAAGTGGATATTCCAATAAAAAACATTCCTCTATTGTTTATGTGTTTTTAGCTTCAGGTGTTAGCTTAATACTGCCTGGGCCTCATTTAGTTCATGATGGAGTCGCTTAAAATTGAAAGTTAAGATAAAGTTTTCTCAGCATTTGCAGCTGGAACAGTCAACATTCAGAACCCAGGGATCCAGAATTAAAATATACTGATATTATTCTGGTTACAAGGATAAATGAGGCATTTGTTATGATGAGGTCAAGCTGCTCACCTTAAAAAAAGGTTGAAAATAATAATTATTTTTTATTTATTTATATTATTATTATTTGTTTTTATCATTATTTATTTGTACTAATATTTATTTTTAATATTATTTATTATCTATTTTTATTAATAAATATTATTCATATTCTATATTATTATATAATAATATATAATAATTTTCATGTTGAAAAAAGGAAACAGTAAACTTACAAAGGGGTAAAGCTGTTTTTTGATAAATTCCTGATTGGGTTTTAATAGTTTTTTTTAAATAGAAAAGTGGATGTGGGTCTTTAAGCTTCTGGCTGAATCTTTTGTAAAGGGGATCATAACAGGATTTAAGTTTTCTCCTCTTGTAGACATGGAAATGCATTCATGTTGATGATGTCCAGAATATTTCGGTCTATTCTGACTTCTACAGTTCATTAATGAGATGAAAGACCAAAACCCAGAACTTATTTTCCTACATGTGGCTTTCCTCTTTAAACACAGTATCACAGAAACTGGCATTTCAAGAACAAATGCTACATATACCAATTCTATGTAAGAAGTTTGCTTTAAAGAGGGTTCTGGGTTCTAGTCCCCGGGGGAACCAGGACCAGAGGGTTCTGGGTTGGAGTCCCGGGGGAACCAGGACCAGAGGGTTCTGGGTTGGAGTCCCCGGGGGAACCAGAGGGTTCTGGGTTGGAGTCCCCGGGGGAACCAGGACCAGAGGGTTTTGGGTTCTAGTCCCCGGGGGAACCAGGA